CCCATGTCCCCGCCCTGGTCCCCACTCCCCCTCACGCCCCCATCATTCCCTGTGTCTCAAATCCCTCCCCAACAACCCCTTTGCTCCCCGTGTCCCTTGTCCATCCCCACATTCTCAGCCCTGCCTGACTTCCCCATCTCTCCCTAAAATTCCCGTCTCTCCACACATCCTCGCCCCCCATTCCTGCTACTCCCCATCCCTGCTGCCCCCACCCCAGGGTTCTGCACCTCATGCTCCCCCCCATCTGCCACAGGTACCCCAGGTTCCCCAGGCGTGTCCCTACCCGGGAAGGTCATGAGCACGTCGCAGTTCTCGGTGGGCACCGTCTTCATCCAGGCCTTGTGGGACATGATGTAACGCCCGGCCTGGAGCAGCCGCTTCCCGAAGAGTTTATCTGCCGGGGGGAGGGATGGGATGAGCAGCCGCGGGATCCCGTGGGGTATCCCCCCACACACACCCCCCCCCCACCCCTAGGAACCAGATCCCAAACCCCGATGAGTCACGGGGCGGGTGCGGGGACCCCCGGCTTGTCCCCGGCTGTCCCCGGCGCGCCAGTGGCAGGAGGTCACGGCCCCGCTCCCGGTGACGCTGCCCGGGGCTCAGGTTTCTCCTTCGGCGGCTCCGGGTGCCCAAAACAGCGTCGGGTGCCCAAAACAGCGCCGGCAGCTGCCGGGGAGGAGCTGCCAGGGTGTCCTGGCACCGCCGGGGTGCCGGTGCCGCGGGATGTCCCGGGGTGCCCCCCTGCATCCCCCCAAAAGCGCTCACCTCCGCCCGCAGCCCTTCGGTGGGGCCGGGATCCGGCAGGGCCGCGGCTCCGAGAGATGGAAAACCGCAGGAAAAATGGGGATACTGAAAAAGCAGCTGGTCTCCATGGAAACCCGGGGAGGTCCCGCGCCGCCGCGGGGAGGTGGGATGGGGACAGTCCCCACAGTCCCCGGCGGGTGCCAGCGCGGGGACACGGCCCCTGTCCCACTGTGGGGCGGCCACACCGCTGGGACACGTGGTCCCCTGGCCTGGTGTCCCCATCGCACCTCCTGGGGTGGGTGGGGACAAGGGACATCCCAAAATCCTGCCCCGGGATGGCAGGATGGGGCTTCCAACGGTGCTGGGGTCCCAAAGGACCCCGTTTCTCCCAGCCCAGCCCCCTCCCTGCCTCAGCGCCCCCTCCTCAACCAGCGCTGCCCAGGGGATGGCACGGCCTCTCCAGCTGCCCCAGGGTTGGGAAGGTCCCCGGGTTCCGGAAAAACAGGAAATGCCAAACCTGCTCTGTCAGCTCCTCCCAGGGAATGCACCCCAACTCTGGGCACCCCCTGACCCGCCAGGACCCCCCCCCGGCCAGGCTGAGACCTCCCAAACTCATCACCAGAGCTGCCGGGCTCTGAAAGGCCTCCCTGTCCCGGCTCTGGGGGTGGGAGTTGGGGACAGTGCCAGGCTACCATGCCAGGCTGCCACCCCCAGAGGGGGACTGATCCGGCACCCTGGGCATGGCCGTGTCCTGCCCTGAGCTGCCGGGGTGCTGGGTGGGCACAGGGTGCTGAGGCTCCAGTGTGCCAGAGCGCTGGGGTGCTGGGGTCCTGGGATGCCAGGGTGTTGGGGTGCTGGGCTACCAGGGTGCCAGGTAGCTGGGGTGCCTGCCTGGGGTGTTGGGGTGGCAGGGTGCTGGGTGCCAGGGTGCCAGGCGGGCACAGGGTGCCGGTGGCTGTGGTAGCGCTCTCCGGGTGACGCTGGCGGGCTGAGCTCACCAGTCTGAATTATTTATGTCCTGCCGGGAGTGGTGGCACCGGGCACGGGTGGCAGCTCTGGGCACCGCGGGGGCCTTGCCCCGGGCGCGGCCACGCCGGCACACGCGTGGGCGACCGGGCGATGCCCGGCGGGCACCCACCCCGAGGATGCGGGTGCAGATTCAAGGGTAGGGGGTTTCCTTGCCCAAGGTCATGGGAAAAGAGGGGTCCCCAGCGCCCCTCCTGCCCCTCCACCCTGGCTGGGGTTGGGGGGTGAACCCACCTTCGTCCCGCTCCGGCCGAGGGTCCCTCAGGCCCCGCTGCTCCCCCCCGGCAGCCTGTGCTGTCACCGAAGTGGGGCCCGTGGGGATGAGGGCACAGTGTCCCAGCCAGCACCGCCCCGTCGTGTCCCCCCGGGTGTCCCCGTCGGTCCCCGCGGCCCCCCGTGTCCCGGCACGCCGGCGGTGCCGCTCACCTTGGCTCCCGGGATAAGGTCACCGGAGCTGCGGCGTGGCGGGGACGGGCACGGCCCCTCCGCCGAGCGGAGCCCGCGGCCAGCGGGCACGGAGCGTTCGGGGGAGCGGCTGCGTCCCGGGGGGGGGCACGAAGTGGGTCACCCACCCCTAGGCGGGAGTCCCGCTCGGTGGCACAGCGGGCAGCAGGCCCTGCCTGCCCTCCCCCCCCCCCGCCCCCGCCACGCGGACCCCAACCGGGGGGGTGTCACCCGGCCCAGCGCCACGCAGGGGGGAGACCCCAACGACTGATTGGGGACCCCAGCCCAAAGCCCCCACCCTGCACCACCCCTCTGTCCTGGGGGTACGAAGCTGGTCGGGGGGGACAATGGCCTGTCTGGGGTGGGGGGTTAAGGGGTGGTAAAAAGACCTTTCTGAGATGGGGGGCGACGCGGGGGGCGCGCGGACGCCGTGCTGGGGTGGTCACCGGTGCGTGGGGGACACCGAGCTGCACGTGGACCCCATCCCGGGGGGGCGCGGAGCTGTCCCGGGAGGACACACACGCGCGATCCCCAGAGAACAGCAGACCCCCCCGTCCCGGGGGGGGACCCCCGGTGGTGGCACACGGAGCTGTCCCGGGGGGACGCTCGGAGCCCCGCCGGGAGCACCGACCCCCTCCGCGGTCCCGGCGAGCCGCATCCCGGCCGACATCCGCATCGAGCCGCAGGGAGCTGCCCCCCCGCGCCCTCCCCGGCCCCCCCGCGCCCCTCCCGCCGCCGACCGCAGCCCCCCCTAACCCCCCCAATCCGCCCCGGTCTCCGCCCGGTTCCCCCGTACCCAGGACGCCGGTGGGGGCCGCCGGTTCCGTTCGCTCCTCCCCGGCCGGGGCCCGCCGAGGCCGGTCGCCGTCCTGCGCTGCGGCCGCCGGCTCGGGCATGGTGCGGGGCTCGGCGGCGGCGGGGGTCGGTGCATCGGGGCCACCGGGGCCGCCGGGGCCGCCGGTGCCGCCGCCGGTGCCGCCGGTGCCGGGCGGGAGGAGGGACAAAGGCGGCGGAGCGGAGCCCGAGCTCCCGGCCCCTTTAATGCTCTGGTTGGCCGCCGTCTCCCCAGCGCCGGTCGCACCGGCCACGCGTGTCCGGCCGCGCCCCGTGGGGGGATCGTGAGGGGAGAGGGGGGGGCGGCTCAGGCCATTCAGCGAAGCGTCGTGGCCCCCCAGTGTCCCCCCGCACACTCGGGGTTACCCCACGTCCCCTCAGTGTCTCCCCCCACTCGAGGTTACCCCGTGTGCCCCCAGCATCTCCCCACCCACCTAGGGGTTACCCCACGTCATCAGCATCTCCCCCTCCTCAACAATCCCCCGCTGTATCCCCAACCTCCCCTTACCCTGCCTGTGCGGGGGGCTGCCCCGCAGCCCCCCCCTAGTGCCCCCCGGGTCCCCCCAGTGCCTCCCTGTGCCCCCCCACACCCCCGTGCCCCCCCTCCCGTCCCGGCACGATGCCCAGGAGAGGCAGTTCCCAGTGAGGGGGGGCCGGTAACCCGAGCGGGGTGTGCGATGTCCCCCTGACATTTCGGGTGACCCCTCCTCCCCCAGTCTGCCCCCACACACACTCGTGGGAGACCCCCCCCACAGCCCCCCTGCAGGGTTGGAGGGTCCTGCCTGCCCAGTGCACCCTGTGAGCCTCCCCTGCATGGTGGGCATTGGGGTGGGGGTCACCCCTGAGCCAGGTCCGTCTCAAGCCCCCCCCGAGTTCCCCCCACGGTTATTTTGGGGCAGGGGCCCGGTGCCAGCACGGTTGGTTGGTGCCACCAGGAGCTGTCCCCCCCGCTGGGATCTCAGCTGGAGCAGGGAGGGGTACAATTTCAGCTGGGGGAGGACAGACTGGGGCATCTCCAGGCCTGGTCTGTCCCTGTTTAGGGAAAGGGAGGGCACAGGAAAAGTTGGGCACAAGGGTGGGGAGGGGGCGCCGGGGCCTTGCAGGGCTGTGCATCTAAAGGAGCCTGAAACCAACCCCCCCGGAGACCCCCTGATCCCATGGAACATGGGGGTGTCCACAGGGAGGAGGGAGCACTGATGGTCTCTGATATCCTGGGAATCCCAGCATCCAGGTCAGCATCCCTGATAGCATCCCTGACAGCATCCCTGACAGCATCCCTGTCTGAATCCCAGCCTGTATCCCTGCCTGTATCCCTGCCTGCATCCTGGCCAACATCTCTGCCTGTATCTCAGTAGAATCCCAGCCTGTATCCCTGCCTGTATCCCTGTCTTTATTCCTGTCTGGATCCCAGCCTTTCCCGGCCACGCCGCTGTTGCTCCTCCCCTCTCCAGCGCCTTTGTCTGCACGACCACCCCCCCTCCCGGGCCCCACGCGCTCCCCCGGGGGGAGGTCTCCGAAACCCTCTGCAAACCGACTCGAGATTTTGGGGACCGGCAATGGGGGGGGACACCTCCAGAGCAGGTGGACCCCCCGGTCCTGGCTGGCCGGACCCCAAACTCTGAGCCCCCCTAAACTTGGGTCCTGGCAGGGGGGTGGGACGGGGACAAGGATGGGGGGGCGAAATGGGATGTGGGATGAGGAGCGGGATGCAGGCAGGGATGCAGGCAGGGATGAAGAGCGGACACAGCCGTGACGCTGCTCGGGGATCATTTCTCTGGTTCACAGAGAGCTACGGGCGCGGGCGGCTGCGGGGGGGGGTCCCTCCTGGCACACGCGGGGGCCTGTTTGTAGGGACCCCCCACCCCGCAACCGAGGGGTCAGTCCCGACCCCCCTCGCGGGGATGAGACCCTCTGGATGGGGTGGGGGTTCCCAGTGGAATCAGCAGCTCTGGCTTGGCTGGGTGCGGAGCCGGGGCTCAGCCCCTCGGGGTGCGGGGGGTACCAAGAGCAGGAACCCCCCCAGGGTGGGCAGGGATCCCCAAAAGCCTCCAGGTGCTCCAGGACAGCTTGTGTTAGGGTTGGGGGCAAGGGGATCTCCCCTGCGTGGCACGGGGACACCAGTGGGTGCAGAGAAAAGGGGACGGACGGGGTGGGGGTGAGTGGGGTCCCCCAATTCTCCGGACACGGGCACCCCCCCAGCTCAGGATCGTGAGAAGCTGGGGGTTATTTTTAGGGTACAGCCGTGGCAGTGGGACGGAGAGGGGTGGGTTCCGCCCAGCAGCCCTCCCGGCGTGGGGACAGGCGGAGACAGCCCGTGGGGGGGCTGTGGGCAGAGACCCCCGGGCATCACCGCGCCCCGCGCCGGGCGGAACCGCCCGGGCCCCGCGGCTTCAGGCGGCGCAGCGCCATGGCCGCTCTCGACCAATCAGAAACGGGAGCGCGCGGCGTTAAACCCGCCCCTCTGTGCCCTCTGGCCAATGGGAGCGGGCGAGGTGGGCGGGGCGAGGCGGCCGCGCTGAGGCCGGCGCGGGGTGCGGGCAGCGCGAGCCGCGCTCATGGCGCTGCCCAGGGCGCTGGGGGCGGCGGGGGGCAGGTGGGGGCACCCCGGGGCAAAACGGGGGGTCCCGGGGAGGGGGGAAACCCCCTGCGGGGCAGACTTCGGGGAGGGGATGCACGGGAATGGGTGCGCGTGCGGGTGGGGGTGACCTGGTGTGGCGGAGGGTGCGTGGGAAGGGGCAGTACAAGGGGAGAGGATGCTTTTGGGGAGGGGATGCATCTGAGGAGGGGGAGTACCCGGGGTGGGAGTCCACCTAGGGAAGGGGTACCCTTGAGGAGGGGGTGACCCTGGGGAGGGGGAGTACTTGGGGAGGGGGTTCACGTGGGCAGGGGTCCTTGGGAGTGGTTGAGGGGGGGCTGTACACCCCCTGTGCCCCCCCGGGGGTGTGGATAAGGACCCCCCGACCCTTCTAGGTGGGCGCGCTGCCTGAGCTCCTCGGCGGGTGGCGGGGGGGACACCATCTTCGCCCTGTCCTCGGCCCCCGGGCGCTGCGGGGTCGCCGTTATCCGTGCCAGCGGCCCGGGCAGCCGGGGGGCCCTGCAGACCCTCACCGGGACCCCCAAGCTGCCCCCGCCCCGTGTCCTGGCCCTGCGGCGCATCCGCGACCCCGACACCGCTGAGACCCTCGACCGTGGGCTCGTCGTCTGGTTCCCAGGTGGGGTGGGGGGCGTGGGTTGGGGCCCGGGGGGGGGTTTTGGGGCCCTCAGGGGTGGTCCTTGGCCACCACTGGCCCCTCTGCACCCTTCCCATAGAGCTACTACTGGGGGGTCTCTCCTGAGCCCCTCTGGAGCTCCTATGGGGTTGAAACGTGCCTGTGCCCACCGGAGGGATGTACCGGGCCCGAGGGGCTCGGCCGGTGCCCACCCAGGCCGTGTGTCCCCGCAGGGCCCCGGAGCTTCACCGGGGAGGACTGCGCCGAGCTGCACGTGCACGGGGGGCCCGCCGTGGTCAGCGGGGTGCTGCGGGCACTGGGTGAGCCCCCCCTGCCCCTGCGTCCCTCCTGCCCCTCTCCCATCACATCCTCACCCTCAGGATGCTGAGGGTGCTGGATGAGCCTCCCCCCATCCCTTCCTCCCCCCTTGCCCTTGCATCCTGCCCCTCGGGGTGAGCCCCCCGCACCCCTCTCCCCCCGTCCCTCAGGGTGCTGCGGGCAGGGGCTCACGGGGGGGGCTCTCAGGGCGCCTCCCGGGGCTCCGTCCCGCCAATCCCGGGGAGTTCACGCTCCGAGCGTTCCGCCGGGGGAAGCTGGACCTGACGGCGGCCGAGGGCCTGGGGGACCTGATCCGGGCCGAGACGGAGGCGCAGCGGCGGCAGGCGCTGAGGCAGATGGAGGGCGAGCTGGGCCAGCTCTACCAGCGCTGGAGCGACACCCTCACCCAGGTCAGGGCCGCCCAAACCTCTGTTCCGGCCGCTGCTCCCTCTTCTGTGGCCTGGGGGTGTCCCCCTGACCCCTCTCCCTGCTCCAGGCGCTCGCCCACCTCGAAGCCTACATCGACTTCAGCGAGGACGACAACGTGGAGGAGGAGGTTCTGTCCCAAGGTGGGAGGGGGCAGTGGGGTCAGGGGGGTGCTGGGACACCCTGTCCCCGCTGTCCCCACCCTGCCACGTCCCCTGTCCCCGCAGTGGACTGCACCGTGCGGGAGCTGGAGCGGGAAATCGGTGCCCACCTGCGGGACGGGCGCCGGGGGGAGCTGCTGCGAGGAGGGGTCCACGCCGTCATCGCTGGGCCCCCCAACGTGGGCAAGAGCAGCCTCCTCAACCTGCTGTGTGAGTGGGGCAGGGGAAGGGGGAGAGCAGAGGGAGCTGCTCCCAGCCGGGAAGGGGCTCCCCAAATTCCACAGGGAATCACCCCCCGCGTTCCATGTGTCCCCCTCCCCACCCAGGCCAGCGCCCGGCCGCCATCGTGTCACCGGTGGCGGGGACGACGCGGGACGTGGTGGAGGTGGCCCTGGACATCGGGGGGTACCCCCTGGTGCTGAGCGACACGGCCGGGCTGCGCGAGACCACCGACCTGGTGGAGCGGGAGGGGGTCTCCCGCGCGCGGGACCGGTGAGGCCGGGGGGGCTACACTGGGGGTCACCAACCACCACGGGCTGGCTGGGAGGGGGTGGTTATTGACCCCCTGCCCTACTCTGTGTGCCCCCCCAGGCTGTGCCAGGCTGACCTGGTGCTGGCTGTGCTGGATGCCAGCATGGTGCCCCCCGAGCCGGCGGGGCTGGGGGCTGCGCTGGGGGCCCTGCAGCCCCCCCCCGGCACCCCCTGTGTCCTGGTGCTCAACAAAGCCGACCTGCTGCGGGGGGACGGGGGTCCCCTGCGCCACACCTGCGCCCAGGGACCTCCCCTGCCCCCCACCACCCTCCTGTCCTGCAAGACGGGCGAGGGGCTCGACCACCTGCTGGAGCTGCTGGCGCGGGAGCTGGCACGGCTGTGAGTGCAGGGAGCGGGCATGGCGGGCACACCGACCCCCGTCCCGGCTCCGGGGGTGCTCCAGCCTGGCTTCTCTCCCTCTCCCAGGT